GGTGAAGTTCGAGTCCCGCCTACTGCCTGGTCCGCGTGGATTTTTTTCTAATAATATTTTCTATAGATAATATAAACATCAAGCAGTTACATGCTTAGAAGATAAAATTATAAACTCCTTTTAAAAACATAGATGAAGTCTATTTCGTCTTGATAAAAATCGGCTTTGAAACTACATGGACGTTTGAGATATAGATAATAGGATTATAATTATATTATATCGCTTTCCTTAGTAACCATAAATCCACCCCCCACTTACTACAGTAAGATCCTAGGAGCTTCACAAGGTTAATTTAGTTACAGTTACTGTTTATCCTGTTGGATTACACAACAGTAAATAATAGCTATTTGGTTTCAGTTTTGTAGGAGGCTTAGGATCCTAATCCCCTATAGGAGAATCCAATGAGCTGTAGCTTCCCGAAAATCATATTTATTGTAGAGCTAATAACTGAGCGCGCACGAATGAAAGGCCTATTAGACTACCAAATGTTAAGGGAACACCCTTACCTTGACTAAAGGTGGCGTCATAAGAAGTTAGGGAGTGAGGGACCTGATCTAGGGCGATCGGCGCGTCCAGATCTCCCTTACTCCCTTACGCCCTAACAATCAGGTAATGAAATAGCTGTTAGGCAGTAAAGAAGCTCAGTCGAATCCCTGAGAGCGTTAATACGGACGTTTTTATAGTCGAATTAGGTTATTGGCACGATAACATCTAGTGAAGAGAAAGAAGCGTTACTTAAGTTTCAGTGACAACGATAACTTTCGTTGCAAAATGAAATCAAAACCAGATTAAATATGTGTCTATTAAAATTATCAGCCAAAAAATAGTAATTGATCCTCAAAAAAAAAATTGTTACCTAATATAACCACTAGGTTACCAATTTATTTATTCTTTATTACCTAAACAGTAAGCGGGGGACATAATGCCAAAGGCATTCTCTACCAGTCAACTAGCAAGTATGTAGGAGATGAATGTTATGACAATAGAATAAAATAGCCACTAAAGTGAGCATAAAATAAAACAAAATCTACTACTTAATTAACAAATTATACGATGCTTTAATAACAAAAACACTTACTTCATTTAAATAAAATATAAAATGTACATACATACACTATATAATTTGAAAATAAATTAACTAAATATGACGATATTCTAAATCTTCAGAGAAACATTCAGGTTTTCAGATAGTGTTCACGTACTAGTTTCTTGAACTCTAACTAACTATGGGCACTGCGAATATTCAATGGCAAAGTATTCCAAAAACATATAGCTGAAATGGTGAATGATTTGGAAACAAAACCAGAATAGTGAAAAGGAGTTTTAAGGGTTAAGTGTCTGCAAGACCGAAGATCACACGGTTTGGAGGGACCCAGAAACTGAAACCTAGATTTCAGGTTTTCTGGGGCACGTGAATCTTATAAAACACTGAAAAGCATGCATACAATTCTGAGATTTCTACGGTCACGTATGGACAGCCAGTTGAGTTGATTTCTTTTATGTGACAATTTTCATTTTTATTTATGCAAGAAATTTAAAAAAAAATGATGACCATTTACATATTTCCGTCTAAATAAAGAGAAAAGTGCCAAAGTTTTTAGAAAAGTTTATAAACATTTGATCAGAATGCATCGGGTGTCATAACGACGACGTTTAAGCTAGGGGACACGCCCCTCCTTTAGATAGAGCCCTTACAATTAGATAGTGTAAGAGCCGTTTGAATACGACATATATCAACTTTCCCGTGAACATAGTCTGTCAACGTTAATTGAGGGAAGATTTCGTAAGCCACATGACTGACCACAGCCATTATTGTTCCATTGTAATAACATGCCCTGCGGTTTCACCCGCATTAATTTGAGGAAAAAGGTTATAGTTGGTCACCCTTTAAAGATAGACAATCCTGTCACGGCTTTGTCGCGGACCTTATTATAGAAATTTTATAGGGGATCAATTCTGTCACATGTGATATTTGTGTTATTTTGCCATTTACGCAGCGCATTCAACGGAATTTCTCAAATATGACGATATTCAACGACCTTCGTGGCCGAGTGGTTTGTACGCCGGGTTTCATGGCGTCGCCGACCCAAGAGATCCCGGGTTCGAATCCCGGTGGGGGCAGATGTTTGTCTGATGAACACTAGCATTTGTACTCCAGTCATGGGTGTTTAATATGTATTTCTATATAAATATACTTATATATTAAAAGTATATGTATTCTATCCGTTACCCTAGTATCCCATAACACAAGCCTTATAGTGCTTTCTTTGGGGCTAGGCTAATTGGAGAAAAAAAAACTATAATATTTTTCCCTTTTTTGTTACATTTTGAATGGTATGGAATGTATTTCCAGAGATTTGCGCGTTCAAGCAAATAAACAGCCAAACAAACTCTTCAGCTTTATAATATAAGTAAAGATGTTGTTTCTTGGTATTCACTCAATATATCTACCCCTACCTTGTGGGACTCTGGAAACCTAACTTTCCAATCGAAACTCAACATCATGGAAATGTAATATTTATGATTGTAGTATTTGTCGTTGTGGCAACTATGGATAAATAAGGATAAATCTGATATCCCCTACCTCCCTTAGAATGAAATCTTTAAAGCTTTTCTTAAAACAGTTTAGAATTTCAACAACTTGAAAAACCAACCAGATAGTGTTGAAAACAGATAATTAATCTAGAAAAATAATTCACACCTTTTGCTTTCTTTAAAATAAAAAATCTTTTTTTTGTTTCTGAAAGGGAAAGATTAATCGGCCAACTATTAATTAACTCATAGACATTTCGTGATATTCATAAATTTCAATTGAATTCTTATTAACTTTTTGCGAGCTATTAGATTTCATGTTGTTTAATATAAATCTGATAGTTGCAATACATATTTGTAACATAATCTAATAATTATTTTTATATAAGGTCATAATTATTTTTATATAAGGGGAACCTAAGGGAGTGATGGTGATTGACGCCAAAGGTGAACCCTCTAGTAGCTCCTTTTAAAAGGACTGACGGTTTGAACGTGACCAAAAATCATGGCTGGTCGTACATTTTTTTTGCTCCCTTAGACGTCCTACCTCATTTAAAGGGCTCAGGTATGGTGGGAGTACTTCACAAGATGCACGGTTGCCCCCCTTATATTATTATACGCGCTAAAGTAAATCCCAAAATCCTACTATTTCAACATATTAAAACATGCTTTCAATTAATTTGTTGCAGTTGTATTAAAATGCAATATATAAATATAAAGAATCTATGTTTTGTTCCAATATTTTAATGGTGTCGCTTATGGAATACCTAAGTTCCCAAGATTAACCAAGCCGTCATTATTGAAATTTACCACCTTAGTTAATAATCCACGATCACCTAAACGTATCATCATAAGGTTTCTAAAGGAATAGTCGTATTGTATACAGGAAAACGGATCCAATTTGGATGATTCGATCAATATGTATTCACTACCTATATGCGGCTGAAATAATACTATTTGGTTGATATCAAAATATGTGACTATTAAGACAGATTTAAAATAACTTTTAAACCTTAAAATAATATCATTAAAAAAAATCTTTAAGTAATGAAGTCCATTCTGACTTCATTTAAATTACAAGCAGTTTGTTTTAGTCTGCCATTGATGTCGATTCTGGCATGATTCTCTAAACCTAAACTTAAATTTGACAACAGTGCATCCTTGTCCTTCTCTATACAGAATGAAAAGGTGAGACTGACCTTTAATTTAGTTTTAAGTTTAGAGATGCACGCCAGAATTGACACCATTGCCATTTTAAAATAAGGACAAGAAGAGCATACGTACTTTGGTAACTAGGTGCTTTTAGATGTTTGTATATAAGTCTTATTAGTGATTTTATTTTATCTTGATTCAATAAGGATAAAAAGATTTAATATAAGAATTGAGTAGTTGAAGATTGAAGCTATTGCCTTTTTTCCTTGGTCTCAAAACTGAGATTTTGGTCGTAGGACAACGTTTGCGCCAACGCGCAACTTGCGCCAACGAGGAGCTCGATGGCGCAAGTGGTTAGCGCGTTCGGCTGCGATCGTTGAACATAAGCAACTTTCGCAGTGGTCGGTCATTGGATGGGTGACCAAAAATTACTATCTCGAGCTCCTCCGTGCTTCGGAAGGCACGTTAAGCTGTTGGTTCTGGCTGCATCTGCAGTCGTTAGCACCCACCAATCCACACTGGGCCCGCGTGGTGGGTCATAGCCCAATCTCCCTATGCCATCCATAGGGAAGGCCTGTGCCCCAGCAGTGGGGACATTAAAAGGCTGATGATGATGATGACAACGTTTTCAAAAAGCGTACAAAATGTTACATATTATTATCATAAATTATTTGTAGGTTTGTTAAACTTGGAAGTGCTTAAAACACATACTCGCTTTCTTATACGTAATGTTTTAATGCATTAGAGTATTAAAAGAAATCAAGATAAATACATTGAAAATGAGTATGCGTGATCTTTTAGAAGTAATGATGATTGACGTCACACAGGTGTAAGTAAGCCACGAAGGTTACGCTGCAATGGCCGCCGTGACGTCATCAGCATCCTGACTTTACATGTTGCGATTTGAGTACCTGTCTTTCAATTACAAAAATGTACCACATATTATAGTTGTGCATAATCAGATATGAAGTATTTTATTTGAATAGTTAAAGTTTTATCTTACGAAATAAAAGTACAGACTTCTGAGTTTAAATCCGGAAATGTTGACAAACGTTTATACAAAAACAATTTAACATACAATATTTTCGGAAATGTTAGATAGTAAAGTTACGAAAGAAGATGCCAACATACGACGTTTATCTTCTATGAAAACCATTAAACATCTAAAGCCAGTTACACCAAAGTTCTCAGAAATTACTTCCTGATTAATTGTAAACAACCATCCTTCAACACTGGTCAGGCGAAGTTTCACTACCCATGCATCACCTAAATGTTCTCAGTAAAATAACATCAAGCTACAGGTGGCAGAAACTTACCCTCAGAGAATAAGAACAGGTACACCTACTGAAGGGAAATAGTTTTATCTTTCTAAACACATCGACATGCTTTCTACTATTCAATGCTTACATTAACACTCAGCAGTTAAACAGAAAACAATACGAGGGGACTTTTGCGTCCTGACCGACAAGCGTTCAAAGCTTTCGGGTTCGCGCGGTGAACTGAGGTGAGTCTTTGGTAAAGTTGGGGAACCGACTGCGCATGTTACTAACTAAACAAAGTTAGCTGTCATACGGTTCTGTGGAACTTGAGGTTGAAAGCTTGGCTCGGTTAGTATCTACATAGGTGTGATTTTTCACCGCCTGCGGAGACGAACCACTTCACTCCGTCGTTCGTAAGTTAATTTCAAAATAATGGCACAAGGAGACGGCAAAATCTGTCAAGTCAAATATGATTGTTCAGAAAATAACAAGTTTGTTTCAGGGATACGTACATTTAATCAAAAATCTACCTCATTGTTTTGAAATGGTTGTAACAAAATAAGCTTATGGTCGGTTAGGAATCAAATTGGCTGATCATACATTTGCACTGAATGAGCCTTGGCAATATCAGTTTTCGCTAGGACTGAAGTGTCCGCCTGGGTAAATATTGTTCTATTAATAGGCTGCAAATATCGTATCGTATAGTTTTCAGGATTGATAACTAGAGGTGCCCTGTGGCTCTACCCGCATTAATTTGAGAACAACGTAAGTATATCATGGGTCACCCGGACTCTTTTTATAGAACTTTTAAAGGAGAACAATTTTGTCTTTCATGGATATGTAACTGTTATCGTTTACGCAGCACACGCAACGGAAGTGAACATATGCAATATTTTTTCGCGTGTTACCAAAATTTTTCATTGGTGCTCCGCTCCTATAGTCGTAGCGTTACGTTATATGTACAGACTACAGCCTCCCTCGATGCATTCACTCTAAGTACATAGCAGCACTTGATATACAGTAGAACCCGTTTAATACGATTTCTCGCATAATACGCCATTTTACGTCAGTCCATGCAACATTAGACATGTTTTCATACATTACTTAACGCTTAATACGATTCGTCATCTCGTTTAATACGCCTAAATCGCCAACACGTACCACACATATCACCTCTGGATAAGACACAAGAAGAGGCCTTAAGTGATTACCTCTTGAAAACACACAAGAAAGAGGCCCTAAGTGATCATGCTGTCACTATGTAACTTCTTTGAAGCAAAGCGAAGACGCATTGCAAAAGTTAAATTATGTTGAAAATCCTGTAATTGCTAATGCCCCCAAAATCTTTTTGTCAAACTAAATAAGTGATTATTTTAAAGAATGTCATAATAATACACAATTTAATTTTATAACGTACATAATTCTTAAATATTGTACTTTTACTACCTCAATACTTACATTCGCTATGATATATTATCAAATAATAGAATTTAATAAATATTTATATGTAGTGTGTTTTTTTCCCTATCCCGCATAATACGCTTTCCCGCTTAAGATAAAAATGCATCTTGAGTCCCTGTGAAATCATCTTGAACGGGTTTTACTGTATATACCTATGTGATATAACCTGAGCCAACAAGCAACCTGCATAATAGCCTATCATAGGATGGATACCAAACAGTTATAATCAAGTGCTGCTCCGTACTTATTTTGTGGTAATAATTTCAGCGTTTGGTCCTGCATCTGACATTAGACCACATTAGACCAACTTGGTGGATCATGGGTTGTTCTCCTTATTCCGTCCAAAAAACAAGCAGGACATTAAACAGAACGTGATAATCATTTATATGACTATTCTACAAATCAAGGGCTTTTTGTCTCGTTTTTAGAGACCTGGGTTGGTGTTGTTACAACAAAAAGAGTATAAAACTAAAGGTAAAGATAAACTGGGTGCACGCAACCTTTGTAACGCATTATGATGTCTGACCTCCTGGATTTGTATGAAAACAGATGATTTAGAAACATACGTACCGTACCGTGTTTCATAGTCATTTATTTTCAAAATCAAATTGCTATACGTCACAATGCATTGCAAACGTGGCCTTAGTTTGTCTTTACTTTAATTCATGCCGCCTTTTAAATGGTAGAATACAGGTATCTCGAACGAGCAACACGAGCAATAATTAAAAAAAAACTACAAACAGAGCACCCAAAGAAATAACAAAAATGGTTCAATACTACTAACTGAACATGTTTATTGCCTCTTGGTGAGGTAATAAAGTAAACACGAAACCTTTTCGGAAAACCGTAATAAATGGGTGGAATAGTTTTTGAGATATATGTGTGGGAACCATTGAACTTTGGCACATACAAAGCATTTTTCCCTTCCATCATATGAGTAGTATATAAAGGCACGTAGTTCCATGGTCGAAAAGTTTCACAATTACTTAACTATGTATTTCATTAATCTAGTAACATTAAGTATTTTTTATTTCCAATTAAAATAGGAGCATCTTATCTTTATGTTTATGTGGTGGACGTGGTGATTGGGATAATATCTTTACTTTTATTTATTACATATTTTATGTTATTAGTACTATGTGTATATCATTTCAGTCAAAAAGATTATAGATGATAGTCGACGACTAACATTCGTTATTGAGCTATGAGTCTTCTGTCATGTCATTAGACTGAGCGACACTACTTCAGAACTACATATTTCCCAGCTATAGTCCAGAAATAGCGGTTTTCGGCTATGTCTAAGATCTTTTACACTGTATTCTTACTTCACGCACTCCTGGTTGATCATCATGTGAAGATATAAATTGTACCTACATTCATCAATGTACAGAAATCATTGTAGTGTCTGAATTTACCTTTTTTTGTGTTCTCTGAATAAACCTTTCTGGCTTTTGCTCCTGATTGCCCACTAAGGCAAGGTTTTGGCAGGGAAAACAGCAGTTTGTTGGGGCCAGGATGCCATGAACAATTTTTTTGTAACTCAGGCAAAAATCTTGTGAACCTGCTTCAAGTAGTTTCTGCTGCAAAATCTGTCATCATTATCCAGTTTAGCACTGGGACAAGTATAATGGGCTCCTTCGTGGATCACGTGACTGAATTCCATTATTCGAATATGTTAAATTTAGATTACTTTCTTTAAAAATATTGTGGACACATACATATGTACCCACATTCTTTCTTTCTTTTCTAAATACTTTGTTTCATAAAATGTATAACAATGTATAAGAAGAAAAAAACGACGGGTTGCACTCCGGGAGTGCCGACAGAAGTGAAAACTTGAATATTAACGTTGTGCATTTTTATTTTGGAATGGTTAGGGAATCATTTTGCACGAATTGCTTTAATTATCAGTATAAAAGTATTATCTATCATTTATATGGTGGAATACAATATTTATTTATTGCGCTATCGTACACAAACATGACAATTTCTATTACACAAAGTTTATCTCTCAAAAATCAACTTCCATCCATAATTTCGATGAATTTTTCACCATCATTATTACCAGAACCATCATCACCAATCTCTAAAACTGATACGATCAGTTTATGATAGCTGAAGTAAGTTTTTGATTCGAACCTATTAAATGCGGCTGTCTACTCTCCATCCGTCTTACGAATTTTCGATCAGGTCACCGTGTCCTGACGCGAGTTTAACATTTTTTACCCATTACAAAAAAAAGTGTACAACGCCGCTAAAGAAATTTTCATTTCAAAACACGTGGTTAAATACACAAATAATAAGATAAAGATACTTTATCGGGCAAGACTAACCTACGAAAGCTTCTAAAAATATTAATATTCAAATCACTCGACGAAACTTGAATAATGAGGCACAGTTATTTAACTTTATTTTTTATTTTTTGTGTCTGGGAAATGCCTAACGCATCCTTCAACTACTGGGGGAGCGATAAGAAGGTATGTGGGACTCCTCCCTGTTCTCTTCAGCCAGCCCTGGAGCTCGCTGAAGTGAACCTACGCTCTGAACAGGGCCACTAAAACACAGACAATAAATACTCCTGCACCGTCACCCGACACGCATATGAGGACCAAGGTTCCCCTAGTGCGTGCCGAGAGGGCGGGTGTGGTTGTGGCACCCGTCTCCTAATGGCCACACACAGTTATTTAACTAGCGCTAATAACACACAAATAAGAATTATTTGTAATTAATTCGATTATTGCAAACCTACATAATATAGTTCATACTATTGTTATTTTTAAACCGTAATGGGATACTGGAATGATTTCTTATGACTCTACCATACACTCGAGATAAACGTATCAATATTATTGTAATAAAAAACTGTAAACATGTTTGTCTTTTGTAAGATATACAATATCACCGTTATTGTTTAATGGGTGTGTCTAATGTTAATTAAACACAAGGTTTGCTCGGTGATAGTAAAAAAGTGAATATCTAAAATGCCTATCGAGATGCCCTATATGCCTTGCAAATGTAAAATGGATGACTATAGATGGACGGGTGGACTAAACGAGTTCTATATTTATTTTATGGTACGGTACCCTAACAAGATGGAGAAAACAAAGTGTTCAGGTTACCAGTACCAAAAATAGCATCCTCTCCGTTTTCCAATCACTTTGATAGATTTTACGATGAATAAGTCTTTTGAACGCAACATAAAAGAAAACAAACAAAGCATTCATGTGGCCATAGTACCATATTAAAGAAAATATACCCCAAAATTTAGTGCAAAGTTTGACTTTTTGACTAGTTTGGACAAAACAATTACCTATAAGTAACTACAAATTGCATTACATTCGAGATAAACAGTGGGCAATGCAAAGAAGACACTACATCAAAAAAAAGGTTGTGCCATTTAGTAAATTGCATATTTTTTTAGTTACTTATATATATTTTCTTTAATATAACAATGCAGCATTTTCTAGAAGTAGAAACATTTAAACAGTAACATATAATTAAATTAGTAGTATTATAAATTGTGTTTTATTGTAAAAAAAATATATCGGTCTAATGCATGCGGAGCTAACCTGTAAGTGTCTGTTGCAGTCAGTTTTCAGAATAATAATGTAATTTAGGCTAAGCATTACTGTAAACAGGAGTTGGTTAGTCTAATAAACAAAATCACACACCAAAATGTTGAATAATATTTTTGAGGCCAAGAATTCAAATCTACTTCAAAGTCGATGTGACACGTCTCCCTCATCGATAAGGTTTTACAAAATAAAATTTAATATTGAAATAAACAATAAATAAAACACGTTAGGCAAAAGTATTATTAATTAATGAAAATAAAAACTCGTTTCAAATTGGATAAAATTAGTCTCCGGGCATAATAAATAAAGTGATTAAGTAACTTAATCCATGACAAATTTATATTCAAAACGGTATGGAGTTTTACTTTGAAGAATTGAAATTAATTATCTCGTGTTAAATGAAGACGAGCTCATGAAATATCCTGAGCTTGTTTGTAGAAGGAAAATTGACAATTCGATTTATATTACATAAAACATAATATTACGAATGTAATAACTAAAATTATTAATTTTATTTCTTTATTTAAGGGTCTAATAAAAACAAAGAATGATAGATTTATCACTTATCACTTTAATATTAAATCGAAATAAGACTCTCAATATGCATGTTTTTTGTATATATATTTTTTCCCCGTTCTTACTAGGGAATTTTAATGTGTTACCTTTCTACGACTACGACTAATATTCTACTTATATTAAAAATACGAATGCTTGTATGTTTCTAACTCAACTACGAAAAAATGTCTGAATGGATTTGATGATGTATTTTAACATACAAACAGAATTAAAATTTAGATTTATAAATCTAGCAGCTGTTAAAACTATTAACTTAGTCAGCAATACTCATGCGTTACCATGAGTAGCAATAATTTATAATTGTTTTTAAAACACCAAGCTTACTCACACAAAATATATTACAATTAGTAAGTTCCATTAACGCTTTTTTTCAAATGCGCAATAGAAAAACTCTGTGATACCAAAGTTGAATTCATAGCTATATTAAATCAAGTTAATGAGAACCAAGTTACCTACTTTCCCCTTGGGCCAATGAAGATCTTTCTTTGTAAGATTATAGGATTTTCTTAAGGTTGTATCCGCTTCTTTTGCTGGCTTTATTAGAATTTTCCTTTCAATAGCAATCTTTTGACGTAATAGAGCACGCCGTTAATCCTTGCTATATTTATAATGACCTTGAAAAGATGAAATTTTAGACTTAACTTAATTTTTATGTGCGGTGTCAGAGTTACAAAAGATTGAGCTACATTAACTCTTTCAGCATCGTGGTATCCACGTGAAATAATTTTTTTTTAGAGCGGCCATACTGCTCAAAGCGGTCATGGTGAACTGTTTCAAGCTGCATCTATGTAGTGAACTACAGTCTCCTTCGTATACGCATACTAGGACTGCTCGAGCAGTTGCCACTGCATCAGCCTGTTGACAGCGCGGTGAAATGGCAGCTTTAAGCTGTTGACTCTGACTGTTCCAGCTGCTTGCCTACGTTGATCATTGACTAACTGCTCGAGCAGTCCGTGTATGACGGCTCTTGAAGTAGTCATGATGGACTGATTCAAGCTGCGACTGTATAGAGAATACAGTTTTCTATGTACACATACACACGGACTGTTTCGGACAGTTGCGTGCGGTGTAATTTGAAGCTTCAAGCTGTTGATTCTGATTGCTTGAGCAGTCCGTCTATGTTGATCACAGGCTGAATGCTCGACTACTTAAAACTGATTCATACAGTCAGGATGGACTTCTGCAAACTGCGACTGCATAGTGAACTACAGTCTTTTGCGTACACAACGCACATAAATGGATCAATCGAGTAGTTACGAAAAATCCAAAGTATTATGAAAATTACATAACAAAAAACTATTGGGCCAAATGGAATATTTTTTTTTTGTGACCAAATGGCAACTCTTTCGCATCACACAAAAAAATAATCACATAAATCGCATTACAAATGTCTTAGTACTCGGAGTACATACACACCGTCCGAATTGAGAACCTCCTCGTTTTTGTAGTCTGTTGAAAAGGTACCAGTGTCATACACAAAGACACAGGTACTTTTCAACCAAAAGAAAAAGTAACCATTTCATAAATATATTATCTTTACAGTTTTTTATACATATTTCATATGATTCATATTTTGCATTACATTTAACTTGAAGTAACATAGAATTGAGTTGTGCAAATACTGTACATTATGCTTTCTCCTGCTTGTAGCTGTTTAATGCTGTTGACTCTGACTGCTCAAGCAGTCCGGTATGTTGATCAATCGCTTACTGCTCGAGCAGTTCATGTATGGCCGCTCTTATTGTTTTTATACTACAGACGGTTAGATTAGAACAGCAAATAATGATCAATCACGTTTGTATCAATTCGTAGGCTAAATTGCCTGGGACCTTTAGCTTGAACAAGGAGCTAATACATTTTTGTTACTCATCCAGTTTCAAGCCTTGTTACTAAAACTATTAACATAAATAACATTGTATGAGATTATGTAGAAACGGCACACATTTAAATGATTATCAACAAAATTTATTTTTTTCCTGGATTACTTATATCGTCATTCAGTGGCATGGGCACGTCAGCCTCATACAGCCAAACATTTATTAAACATTAAACTACTGATGAGACTTTTAGTTTGTGTTGTTAATGCTGTTATAAATAAACAGAATCAAAATATATTCGTATAATTTAACATGAATAGACTCTTGAAAGACTGTTCATTTGTCTTAAAGAGTATATAGGTATCTAGTTTCGTTAAGTCTAGTTTACTATTAACGTCCTGTATAGAGAAGATAAAAATAAACGTCAATTCGAATGTACTGGATAACTTCGAACGCAATTGTATTAGCTCAGTCAGTTCGCACGATTCACGCCCTAACAAATTGAATTCTGGTCGTATATGAAATTCTCGTCGGAAACAATGTAACGTATTCTATGAAAATAATATATCACAATTCAAAATAAATATTGCACTTCCATAGATTTAATTTAAAATTTCACCAGTGATATAAAACTTCAAATACTAACTACACAAGGCGAGCATCCAAAGCAATTTATCTTTTATGGTACTATGAAAAAAAAATCAACCTGAATTATTGGCCAAGGTGCTT